ATGTTTCTATGATGGCACAGGAAAAGTGATTGGACATCAATGGTATTGGAAAGAAGCCAAAACAAAACCTATCCAAATACAAAAAATGAAAGGTAACTTGTCACTGTAAAACTATAAGGAATCATGCCAATAAGATTACAAAACAACAAAAAAGTAAAAGTTACAAAGATGAAAGGAAAAAATCGTTGTTTAACTGCTGGTACACCACTTATTTGTTCATTGACTAAGTTTAGAACGAATTCATAAATCATTTCAACAAAAGATTGCCAAGCATTGGGTACCAAATGACCTCCATTCATGGTGACAAAATGAAATAAAGCCAAAAGTATTAAAGGGATTGCCATCAGAGTAGGAGCATCATGACATCTTTCGATGTCTCGCTTAAAAGCATTGGTTGGAGCAAGAAAAGTGAGAAAAAGTAAACGAGGATGCGTGCACTTCAGACAAGACTGGCACAAAGTTTACACGCCAGATTGTTAGCCATTCGACGTGTCACTATGGACAACCCTTCTACGAGAGGAAAAATGGAATTAGTTCGAACACTGAAGTTCGATGGCCAAACTAGGACGGGACAGAACCACTTCCTTTTTCTTGCGGATCGAGCTAAACAGGCATTAGCTAAAATGGTTCTTGAACCCGAATGGGAAGCCCGTTTTGAACCTCACTCTTATGTATTTAGGCCAGGACATAGTTGTCAAGATGCCATGGAAGCTCTGGCTAGAGCCATTAGAGCCAAATATGTGCTTGACGCCGACATTGTGAAATGCATTGATCGAATCAACACTTCGTGCCTCTTGGAAAAGCTAGACACATGTCCTGTGATGAGGAATCAGATTAAGGCCTGGTTGAAAACAGACATTATGACTGGTTTCGGCCTTCGGCCGCCTATAACTTTATATAACTCTGGCGAGCCTCAAGTTATATCGCCTTTACTGGCCAACATTGCTTTGCACGGAATGGAGAATGCTTGAATGAGTGGGCTCAGCAACAGGCGGCCGAAGGCCGAGTTATCCTAGTAAGATACGCCGATGATTTCGTTGTTCTTCACAAGGCTCGCAGAGTTCTTCAGAGCGCTCAAGGGTTCCTATCACAATGGCTCTGCACTTTGTGCCTGATCAAACTCGCATAGTCACTACGGGAGAAGGATTCCATTTCTTAGCACATGACGTTCTCCACCTTGGCAAAGGCTCGAAGAGCAGACGTTTCACGTCTGAATCCCATGGGCTCGTCAGCAGAGTTGCTCCGTCCAAGAAATCACAGGAAACACTTCTTTCGCAAACTCGTTTTGTAATACAATCTCACAAAGGTTCCGCTGTACAAGGATGTTCGTCTGAGAGCACAAACTGCACGTCCAACCATTTAGTATATGGTGCAGCCTGATCAGCATCTGAAGTGGAACGTATGGAACACATGAAAGCAAACTACAGCTTTTTGCTTTCTCCCTCTCTCTGTGCTGTCAGCGCGAGCTGTGTGATCAATCCTTTGATGTCGTGCGGTGTGAGCGAGGCGGGAAGAGTAGGGTGCGAAGTTGCGAACACATCAAGGCAAAATACATTTCTATTCCTCTCTCTATGTCACACCGCATGAGCATGCGAGCAGCTTTCTCCCTCTCTCTGTGCTGTCAGGGCGAGCTGTGTGATCAATCCTTTGATGCCGTGCAGTGTGAGCGAGGTGGGAAGAGTAGGGTGCAAAGTTGCGAACACATCAAGGTAAAATACATTTCTGTTTCTCTCTCTCTATGTCACACCTCATGAGCATGCGAGCGTGCAAAGGCTGGAGAGCAAACTAGAGCCCTCTCCCTTTCTCTCTGTGCTCGACTGTGTGAACCGTCCAAACAAGTGGAGTTGGTGAACACGCCAAAGTGAGCTACATCGCCCTCTCTCGCATGTGCAAGAGCATATGTGCAGCGTCCAAAAATCGCTTCGGGTCTGCTGTAGACTGTGCAAACTGTGAAAGCAAGCACTTGAAATTGGTGCAGCAATCTGGGCAAATGCAGGACATCAGTGTGTGAAGCAGAGAATGTATACATGGTGTGCAACCTACAGCTCTTCCCCTCCCCCATCACCTTGCCCCCTCTCTCTCCCTTGCTATAATACAATGTTTAGGACAGCGTTTGAAGATGAATCAGTATTTTAGAAATGTGCTTTTCAAGCCACTCCTCCTTTTCGGAAAATGTTTTCTGTGGAGGATTGACTGTCAGCTTGCCATTCTTGTATCGAATCAGAATAAGATTAAAATGAGATTCAGGCTCAGCGTCATTCTCCAGTTCTCAGATGCCGTTGACGACTCTGAATTGTGCCAGTTGTTCCATCTGATGTGTAGTCCTTGAATCATTGCTACCTTGCCCTTTGCGAGCCAAGCATATTGAAATCCCCTTTTCAATGTCGACTCTGAGTCTGGGTCTCCTTGAGTGAGTAATTTGGTGTTTCGCCGTTTGCATCAGATCTCAGCTGCGGTAAGATTGTTTTTTTTTCTTTTTTTTGACAAAAAAAGTTGAAGAAAGTTAAAAAAACAGAACCTACGGTTCTGGCTCCTTTCCATTCTGGGGAGCATCAGTCCGGTCGGTTCCTATATTCCACCTGAAAGTCGAGGGAATTACAACAATTACTCACACATGCACTTCCCCATTATGGTTGAGAGGCCTGAGCGGACGGCATTGATTGCTTCCCATGGGAAGGATTTACCGCCCCTCACCCTTGCCTAAGTTAGCGTAACCAAGTGTACTTTCTTGGGCTAAGCCTATTCTGACTAGTGCAACTGTATTCATCTACTGTTGTCGATCCTATTGCGCCTGTCCTGGCATATTCCTCTCAGCTACTTGGCTGTCAGATTTGCGATGAGGTCTAGAATTGCTAGTTTGGCCTCGGCTATCAGATTGCTAAAACCCCAAGTGTTCAGAGGTTCCAAGTGCCATCACTTAAACCAGCAGTACACCCGGGCCTGCAGGTGCCTTACTGTGCGCCCAGCTTTTCTGAACTGCCAGCGGCGCACTTTTTTATTTTTTGGCCGGCACCGCCCGCCATTGTGGTGTGGTAGGCCGAGCCTCCAAAATTTTAGTAGGTGACGAGTTGCTTTTTCAGGCATGGCAGTGTTTGCGGTAGGGGGTTAATTGGCATCTCATACACCTGAAACACCGTTCTTTCTCACAGAGGATCCATGTACTTCGTTTGTCTATCTTCGTTTTTCATCAAACGTCCATTGCTGTTTCTTTTGCCTGCCTGCATTCCTTTGGTATCACGATCATTCTTGACATGCCACATCAACACCAAGGTCAGAAACCCGAACCTCGACTTCTTCACACCGCTTCTAATACTTCTCTCTCCATCAACTATTTGTGCCTTTCCAATCTCCCTTTTCCTGACGCGGGTGGAGCCGCGCTGGCCCATCTTGTTGTAGATGTAGACTTTACGAATTTTGGCGGTATAGAGTACTGCTGCAATATGTTATAGTGATGCATTGCCTGCTTGGCTACCATACATGCGGCACATTTCGTGCGCGAGCGCGCCGCACGTGCAGTGCATAGTGCATGCACATCCATGCAAGCGCATGAAGTGCGGCGCACCCCTGGAAATGGGGGTCTTGAAAAAATTGGGGAGGGCGGGGTGTGGTAGCACACCCCGCCCCTTCCGCAGGAAAAATACTAAAATAGTGGGGGCCGAAAAAAACAAAACCTGGGTTGGGCTCGACAACGGCACCAGAAACTGTGTTTTTCTCAATGTGTGTGTATGTATTGTCTCGTATGTGATGAGGGCTCGTAGTGCTGTCTCAAACGTATACTAGAAATAGAGAACGGCAGGGATGACACCTGGTTTTACGTAGTTTTTGCTGAAAAAAAAAAGAAGAAGAAGAACGTTGGTGAGGGTGGCTTGTGCAGAACCCTCTAGAACACGGAAAGACAACACTCACTTTTTTCGACGTCCTTTCAGCATCCATACTGTCACGGTGAGCATACGTTGCCTGCCGTCATATAAGGGGCCTCGCTCCACCACTCGCCAAATGTCCAAAATGGCAACGTATCTTCGTGTAGAATGGGGAAAGATATACCACCCTAAGTTTCCTCCTTTGTACATGTGGCGAGTTGTGATGTGAAGCCCCCAGGATGTCGAATCCGTCAAGAGCTTTTCACCAATGGACCGAATCCCGCCCTAATTGAGGCATGCTCCCACTAACGCTTTTTCGCCAACGTGCTAGAGATGATTGCGGTCAGATTCATCCACGTCGGGCCGTGATTGAAGCGAGATGCATTGTAGGCGTTGGATGAACACATGAACAAAAGACAACATATGGCAGTGTATCTTCCCGTGTTCTAGGAGAAGATCCATTCTCATTCTGCACGTTTTTTTAGTAGTGGAGCGAGGCCCTGGATAGTTCGTTCCTGCTCACCTGCTGTTGCCCTTTCGAAGGAAAGAACAGGAAAGAAAAGTGACTAGGGGCCTTTTGTCCTTTTCAGAACGACGAGCTCGTTTTTAGAGGACGCGCACACACAAACACAAACATGAAGACACAGAGAAAAACAAAAACACCCTATCCCGCAGCACGCGGGGCGTAGTCACGCGTACCCCAGTGCACCTCCCATGTGCGTGCAGTGCATGCGGCGCGCACTTGCCTGCACATTGGAGGTGTGCGCACCGCACTGCATGGCGCACCGCATAGGTTCGCCGCAAGTATGGTATTTACTGATGTCGTGAAATGTGAGAGCTAGTGCTGGGAATCGGTACTGGCTGAAGATTGCAGCAATTTAACTTCGCAAAAGGAAAATAAAGCCTAGTCCTAAAGTGATTGGGAGATGGAAAACGAGCAGTCTTCATGGATTTTGATGTGGAGCGGACAGGTGAAGAGTCGTAAGATTGGATGCAATGACATATGGTCTCAGAAGCTGAGTGTAGCTGTGTTTGTTTGCTGTTGATGAAGATGCGAATCAGGAAGGGGCACTTTTGCAGAAGAAGGCCTCTAGTGAGTAAGTACTTTCTTGATCCTGTCTTCCATCCTATCACACCCTTTCACTCCCTCCCTCACCACACCGCATCCCTTTATCTTCCTCCGCTGAGCATTTTTGTCCTGCCCCCCCATATCTTATCCTATCCTACCCTGCACCATCCTTCACTGCCTACCCTGTATGTCATTACATTTCTTTCCACGAGCCCTGTGAGTTGAAGCCACTGCTTATTGTGCCCACTCCCAAGACCTTGCTAAGTGCTCTCTCTCTCTCTCTCTCTCTCTCTCTCTCTCTCTCTCTCTCTCTCTCTCTCTCTCTC